TGGTCGGGTGAAACCCGAGTCATTCCGGTACGTAGAACCGGCTGTCGTGGGAATGGTCCGACCCCGTCGAAACAGTACGTTAGTCGAAACTACGGTTAGTTGTGCCTGACGACGATTGATGGACTTGCCGATTTCGGTGGGCTTTGTAGTGCCTCTACAACATAGCTGGGCAGCGTCTGCCCGGCGGGCGACTGCGCGACGTATTCGCGTATACATACACGATCTACTTGGGAAGACAGCGAAGCCTTCATCATCAACTGCACGACTTGTTCGCACGCACACTACAAAAATGCTCTGCCGAAGCTGCCCACCTCTGTTCTACCACAACAACTACAATTCACCAAGGTCTCCCTCTGAGAGCTGAGTAAATAAAGTAGGTATTAATTATTTGTATAATCAGAGATTTTACAGTGAAAAAATTTTGCGGAAATTTAATTCTACAGGAATTGGACCATATTCGGTCTCAAAGGGGGAACCGTAAAAAAAAAACTTGTTAACTGTTACTAGTTTTATGAAACTTTAATTCTATACATATGTACATACATAGCACCAACAAAAAAATAAAAAATTGCCAAAAATTAACGGTTAGTCCTAGCTACTTCAACTTGTTCTTTAATATACTAAAATTTAACGAATTTTTTTTTAACAAATTTTGTGGGATGAAAATCTCGAGAAAGTATCTTACAAATGTGTGATGTTACTACAAGGATGCTGTTTCAAGGCTAATACATCTAGAATCATTTAAAAACGTTTCAAGATCTGTTAGCTTTTGTGGAAAAAATTAGCAAAATTATTTTTGTCCCGTATTCGGCTCCCATAAATATGGTCACCGTAGCCGCCATAGTACTCCAACAAATTGAATGATTTAAACAGCATTTTGATGAAAGACTTCACTGCTTGATGTAAAAATAGTGACTAAATGTATAGATATTGGCAAAAAGTCTGCATTGCGTTCAGCGAATGAAAGGCATTATTAATAATTTTGAAGAAGGTTTCCAACTATAACTAAAATATTAATCTATGTATACATGCATCTTTATATATTTGTTTCAAAGTTATTTTCCTGTTACCAAACGATATCTCCTTTATAATTTTTCATTTAGAAGGAGAGAAGTTCACGTAATATGCAAAACTTCTCCGTGACTCGGACGTCACTATTTGGGATGAGATTTCGATGGTTCCCAAAGAAGCACTAAGCGTAGTACTAGATCGACTTTTGGGAGACATAATGAATAATAGTTTCCCCTTTTGTAGGCAAAATCGTTCTGTTTGGTAGAGACTTCCATCAAGTGTTATCTGTCGTTAAATCTTGTTGTTAATGAATTAAACGAGGTTTCAGGAATAAGAAGTACTATTTCTACCCTAAAAGATGTGATACACTTTTTTCCCCCAAGTCAATGACACGCAAGAATTATCCTGCTGATATATCACGTTTGTGTGGAACAAGATGGTCGGCAAAAAATATAAGGCTATCAGGAAATTTTCCTGAAGTTGTGGAAGCTTTAGAAAAGTTGTCGATTCAAGCAAACTTTTTCACAAGAAAGTCTGCGTATCAATTGTGTGCTGCTATAACAAGGCCGATTGCTTTAATGACAATTGCTAAATATTCAATGTTTCTGGATACTACAGCAAACATTTTGCAAATGAAGACAATAGACCTCGTCGCGTGGAAAAGCATATTGAAAATATTTTGGAGGTGGTTAAGAGTGATCGAAAGAATGCAGGAGTCACTATGGAGTTAATTAAAAAATCTCGTATGATTACAGCCGATCTAGGAGTAGAAATTTCTCTACTACGTTTGACAGGTAAACAAAAACTGAAGTAACTCCCATTTTTCAATGTAAATGAGTACTGGCGACGATCTAATACTCCAGCTTTTTCGCTGTCTAGATTGCACCCATTGCATTCGATTACCTGTTCCAGTGAAAAGGTACAAAATAACTCGAAGCATTTTCAACAATCAATGATCTATGTAGGTATGGGAAGTGAACTTATTCTTTGGTACAATTTATGGAAGAAAAAGAACTTGTCCGAAGAAGATTTGAAGGATGTTGAAGTTGTAGATCTATTTAAAGAAGAAAACTAATATATAACAGCGATAAATAAGGGTATTTCCATTTTGAGCAATTTTCCATGCACAACAGCGACTGTGAAGCTATCGTTTAGTACACTTCGTAGAGTAAAAACCCGGCTCAGAAGCATAACAGGAGAAGAAAGGCTTTCTGGACTATTGGACTATGTCTCATGAGCGTCCATACAAAACTCGTTACCGAAAACCTCGAGATGATTCAGGAGGAAATAATCGAAAAGTTTGCTGGAAATCGTTATTAGCTTAAAAATTATTAAATAAAAAATATGTAAAAAAATTAACAAGTATATTTCCTTTTGCCCCTCGCTCCCCTTACATAAGATTCTGGCTAGGTCCTTGTACCAGAACCTGTTTTTCGAATGGGCAGGTGCTATACGTGGCTTTTTCAAAATTTCGTTGATTTAACGATATTTATATGTACATTCAAGAAATTTCAACCAAAAAAAGAATGATCACTTTATCATTTCTAACATTTGATTTTGAACATGAGATGTTTAAAATTTACATATGAAGCGTTTAAAATTGCAAAAATTTTCAAAGTAAAATACATTTACTACTAACAATAAACATAAAGTGCTCGAATTTACTTAATTTTAAATATTATATGTGTAATTTTGCTCTACGCGACAAATTTGGTATGTAACAGTAAATTTGCACATTAGGAGACTGGTTATGCATAAATTTAAACAAACATTTTTTAGAGCAAATTTTAAACATTTGATGTGTAAACTGTGAAATTGTGAACATTACTTGTTTAGAATTGAACAAACAAATTTGAAATTTGTTCTACGCCACACATATGTATATGTAATCAGAATAAACCAGCAGTGGTTAATTTAATTAACACGGAATGTAAGCTTGCATTCATTAAGAGCGGAAACTGGTTACCTATCTTAATATGCGCAAATTTAAACAAAACTTTATTGTAGTTTTCAAAAATTTCAGATAAAATTACACATCTAAAGTGACTGATGCAAACTGCTGAGCAAATTCCCGAGTTAATTTATTTAAACTTTATTCTAAGGTATTGGATTCGAACAATTCGCTCGGGTAAGCTAGTAATAACTCGTTTATTATTGAATCAAATGCGATATAAACTTAAACATACAAATATGTGACCATATGGCATAGTAGCTTAAGACGGAAGCCGGGCTTTAGTATAATGTTCCATTGATAGCTTACGAATGCGAATGATACACTTTACGCCGTGCCATTGAAGAACTCTTGGCAAATCACGTGAAATCTAACCGAAAATCCCTTGTGGTTTAAAGAATAAACGGACTATATTCAAGCCAGGCTCCCCACTTAAGCTATTATGCCAAGCGAAAGCAGAAATTAATTATGTACGTATTTCATATTTTATTTTGTACTTACGCCCCCATACTGAATGCCTCTTTCACGAAAGCAGCGACCATAAACCACCACCGGTATGCACCAATTATTAGCCAAGCAGTACAGGCGCAATTTGGCATTGTAGTCATTCGGTAAACTATTAAATAATAAAAGTAAAAAAGAGCAAATTTAATTGCTCTTACTAAAATTTATGTACGAAAAACTTACCTCGCTCGGTGTCCCAAGGAACGTGGTTTCTAAAGTTTGCACCGAATCGAGACATGAAATAGTGACATATTATTTTGTTTACGCTACTAATACGTACCGTAATTTCATTAGAGCTGCTATTAAACTGAAGTGACTTGGGCTTCGCCCACTGAACCTTCAAATCATTACCCCACATGCGCATGCGTCCTGGCGTTGTACGTTTTTTCGCCTGTAACGCTGTTTCATGATCGTAAAATTCGATAAAAGCAAATCCACGATTCAGATCGCCCCTTATTGAATCTGTGGCTGATGACGCATGTGCCGTGCAGCGTTCCATGTCGTGAAAAGCGTTCTTGAAGCCAGCTTCCAAGGATGACAATGGCAGCTGCTTAGGAATGTTACTCACATAAAGACGATTTTTACCTTGTGAGCGGTAGACGCTCAGTCGTTCACCGTCAACGAATACAAATTTCAATAATTCGTATGCGGCCAGGGCTTCAATCTCCTGGGTATAGCGTACAAATGCATAGCCACGCGACAAACTGAACGACTCCATCATCAATCGCATTTCATATACTTCCCCGCAACGATACAGCCAGGCTAGAAAGTGCACTTCATCTAGTGACTTGGGCAAATTCGCAACATACAGCTCACATATGTAGGAAGGACGTAGACCAGCATAATCTAATGGCGGCCCAAATACTTTGCGCCCATTCTCCAAAATGGCTGGAAGAGCGGACGCCTTTTCAAGAAGTTCTTCTGCAGGGTTAACATTCTGCATGGGCGAGCACGATGCCAAGGACGTAGATGGAGACCAGGAAGATCCTGGCGACCAGCAAGCAGACGAAGTTCCAGACCTAGATAATGGCGAAGAGTCCGACATTTCCATTTGCAAGTATTTCGAAATCAAAATTATGTCACAAAACCAGCAAAAGTACAAACAATCGATTTTTAATTTGACCCATTAACTACATTTCAACGGAAATTCGGGATTCCTGATAAAATGACGCACTTTAATTTTCCTGTGTCGATCGCAAAACAGAGTTGTCAAAGTCCTACGATGAATACTCCAAATAATCGTAACGAGAAACGTAAGCCTGGCATAAGTTGAATTGAATTCGAATAAACCGTTGGTGGTGGTGGTGCTGTTAGATCAGCTGGTTTCTTCGCCTTACGTGTATTTTGTTTTTGCTTTTACTTATTTGACAACACACCCATCAAAAGCAAAAAGAATACATGCAAACTTTGGGGCGAATGGAGAAGTGACATAACACACGCAATACAAAATACATAAGATTGTTGTATTTGCTATACCGCTACCACCTTGTATAAATTCGCCTTGACCACCTTGTATAAATTCGCCTTGAGTTGAATTTTTATCAATATACTTCGTGTCATACATAAGTATTAGTTAAAAAGCATTAAATAACTTAATATTGAAATTGCTCACATCATTACTTGAAAGAACACTAACAAATTATACTCACGATGACAATCAGAACACACAAAAAATACAACAAAACCATATTTTTGACGAGGAGCACAATTTGCCTTGAAATCAGCTACTCCGTTAAACACACCTTTTATGAATACGCTTTGGCTCACGTCGTTACGTTACGCAAACAACCCTGCATTTGATTCATCGATTTCTGGCTGGCAATGCCGTACGTTAACGGGAAATTTTTAGGTAAATTCAAATTACGCACTGACTAGGCAGCATTGTATCAACGGAAAAGCCGTCAGCTAGATTCAGTTTCGGCTAAATATTTACGCTTTGTTTGCGAAAAGGTTAAGAAAAGTGCAACAGCAATTCCAAACATTGGATTATATAATGGAGTACACCTCAGGCAACAGTGTTAACCAGAACATGTGTGCCACAATGTGCACTCCTTTACATTTCGCTTACCCTTTGTCATCGCCGATTTCTTCGGATGGTGCAAGCGGAAGCAATTTTACACCATCTCCACCACAGTCTTCGGTATCTAGTCCACAGCTACAGCGCTCCGGCAACTGCCAGCAAATGCAGCAATTTACACTCATGCAGATGAATGGCCGTAAAGTGCTTGGCCCTCCAGAGGGTTGGCACGGCCCACCGCCCTCAAGTGCATGTGAACTGTTTGTGCGTCGTATTCCCCGAGATCTAAATGAACAAAAGTTAATTCAGCCATTTTTACGATTCGGGCGCATATATGAAATACGCTTGCCAATGGATTTCAATCAGGTAAGTATTACAAATACGGAGCAAGTGTATGGAATAAAATCACTAAACACTTTGTAGGCAAATCGAGGTTACGCATACGTCAAGTATACCACTGAGGAAGAAGCAGCTTGCGCAATGGAAGTGCTGAGCCATTTTTATATAGCTCCTAAACGCAAGCTGGAAATTCTTCATTCATATGAAAAATGTTGCTTATTCGTTAGCAACATACCAAAACATTTAGATGAAAGCGAGGTTGAGGAAAAGTTGCGTGCAGTTTTTCCCACTATGGAACGTGTATATTCTCGGGGGTCCGGTTTATCTCAAAGGAGCTCTGGCCAATGTCGCGAGAATGATGGGTATGACAACATCAACTTTGAAGGATTCAATGGATCGCACCAAGTTATGCATGCAGCATCCAACGACCAAAGGAACCGTGGTCATGTCTTCATACACTTTCCTTCTCACTTGGATGCATTAGAAGCAAAGAAGAGTACAACGCCGGGAGTGATACGGATGTGGGATCGTGATTTAAAAGTTGTTTGGGCCAACACAGAACGTGACACTGACATGTCAAAATGCGTAAAGATACAAAGATTTACAAATTTATTTGCTAAAAACTATGCATTTTTTTCAGAATAAAACACTATTCGTTCGCAATGTGGATCTTTGCGTAAACAATCGTGATATCATCGACTTGCTTGTAAACTGCGTACCGCGGCAGGAGATACGTAAAATTACAAAAGTTAGAACAATAGCATTCTTTGATTTTACTACTCGCGAGGCGGCCGAGAAATGTTTGGATCAATTGCAAGGAACCATGTTGCGTGGCCAACGGCTTGGCCTTGAATGGGCTAAGCCATCGGAGAAGTAAGTGAATAATAGATAAAAAGATATGTATGTATTAGTTTTTAATATTAAAAATGTGTCTCTCAAAGGCAATCATTGCATCGCATGTGCAGGACGGACTTCGATGCAATGCTTCGTCTTAAATGCATTGCGAACTCCTGGCAAATTCCAGTAATAATCTTCGGTACGTACTACGAGCACGAGGGATTGCAGTATGGCGCGGTGATGCTGCGCAATGCCAATAGCACGGCGCGAGCTATTTTCTGTGCATTGCAGACTCATGAACTAGTTGACATCCACTCGCGTATTTGTGAAGTAGTATGTGTTCTTTTGGAGACCATAGGTACTTTTCCTGACTACAACTACGTGTTCTTCGTTGAGAAGGACAACGCACATCTTCGTAAGTAGCATATGCCCTTCCGCTCTCAACAATAATAATATTGATTTTAAATTCCAGTCGGAATGGTTACACATGATGCACAATCCGTTGGTTTCATCGCCTCTTTTCAGGTGCCAAAATATCTATGTTTTGATTTAAATGAGCTGATCGATCTGAGCTGGGCCGTGGCAACTTTGGCCGCTGTTAATGAGGATGATCTACTTCAAGCTTATCACGAAAGTTTTCTAGTGAATACTACGGCCACGTATTTACAAAATTTAGTTGTTTCCGGCCACCGGGTTTTCGGCACAGTTATGCCAAAGTATCGCAATAAGGCGCCACTAAATCACAATCTAAATGATACCCAAATAGTACTTGCTTTGTGCTACGTTACAACCGGTACCAATTCCGCATTACAAACCCGTCCATACCTCGCTTATCCTGCATCCATGTTTGATAGCGGTTACGAAGGGTTGCGTTTCGTTTCGCTAAAATTGTTACCCATTGCCGTCACCCAATCACGCTTTTTGGTGCATCACGTGCTCAACCATGTTCAGTTCGGCAATGTACAATATTTTCATCCGGAACAACGTTTCCAATATCCACCTTTATGGATCACTGGCTGCTCTTATACCAAATCACTGAAGCATCCCAAACAAGAGCGAATAACGCATGCTCAGCAACATATCACACAAAGTCAGCAACAGCACAGCTTAATGACAAATGGCACATATATGCCTGCAACTTATGTAAGCTCGAGCATTAAAACCCCGATCCACGGAGGATCGCTGGGCGAAAATTAGCTGTTTTTAGTTTTAATCTTATATTTTTAATGTTTAATGTTTATTATTATTTAGCACCCCTCTTTTTTCATTATTGGATTTCGTATGCATTTGTTTTAAGTTGTATTCAATGTATTTAGTTATTTACCTAAGCGATTCTGGTGTTTTTGAATCTGTTGGTTTTCTGATTTTTTGATCGTATCTGTTTGGTTTATCATTGATTGACTCTTTTAAGATTTCACGAATGAAAAAGTTTTTATGTGTTAAGCAGCGTTTAAATTTAAAATTTACTTACTTTATTAATACTTTAAATTTAAGATTCCGTTTGATTTTTCGGTTAGATCATTCTGTGCTTTGTCCAGAAATTTTTTTGTAATGAATTTTAATAAATTTTTTTTTTTTTTTATTTGGAAAGAAGCAAACATTGGAATTTTAATTTTTATTAATAACCGACTTCTCAAAAAAAAGAGGAAGTTATTAATTCGTCGGAATATTTTTTTTTTATGTATGTTACCGCATAACTTTAGACGACATTAACCGATTTCGATAATTATTTTTTTACCTCAACTAATTTGGTTTCGCTCCGATCATTAGAAAGATAGATCTTCTTTTTTGCTTAAGGTGTTCTTACACGACATATCCTGTATCCTGGCAAATTAGATTTTTTCTCTACAAAGCAGATGTACGTACATACGAAATAGAAATGTTTCTAACTATTTTCATCTGACACACAGGCAGAATCATCTGAGTTTAGTTTATTTCGTTTTCAAAGATCGTATTTTTTTTTAAACAGTTAATAAAGACTGAATTTGACAGACATACATACGCAATTATATATGTATTGAAAAAGTCACATTTACAGATGCAAATACATATCGCCTTTTAAACTATATTGCTATAACAGTAGACGAATCGTTAACTTTTAGGATTACAATTAAAGTATTCGCAATCCTGCATTTCGTGATAACGATTACAGTAATCGAAAAATTAGTTTTGCTTAGAGCAAATATTAATTTTTATATACCAAAATGGTTTTAAGTTATTGATTCGCGACTTTGTTTGGAGTTGTAATATTCTACACAGACTCGTGGTCGCCGTACTTTCAATAAAGTTTGATTTTGATTTATATTAATACTTCGACTTTAATTCAATTTTTAGTTATAATTCGTAATCATAAAGTGCCCAGCATTGCTATGGACTATGTTGAGTTGAGGATGAAGAGTGTTCATTTGAAAACGGGGTATTGCAAAGCATGGCTAGCCATTGATACACAAAATATTTGAATATTTCAAATCCCGGGTAGAGTTTTAAAAAATCAATACAAATTATAAAATCTTTAATTTTAAATTTTCAAGGTCAATGTTCATAACATTCAAATGTTAATATCTACTTTCTCTTATTCTCCATTAAAAATGCTACTAATTTGTTTCCTTTTCCTCTCTTCTAAATTATTATCTAATATTGCAAAAATTACCGGTCTAAGTTTTTTTAATCGAAAATCGGGAGTCAGGGTTTTTACTTCCAACTTTCCATTTTTCGGCCCAGCTTTAAAAACAAGTAGAATAATCGGTCGCCCCAGCAAATACTGAATATATATATATCGCGCATTTCCTTCAATAGTGTCATAATTAATTTAAATTTTAAAATTACAAATATTGCGTTAAGTACGCAAAGTTTCCGCTCCTTCTTATTCTATGTTGTGAAAAAATTTCGATTACCAGTAGCCCGTTAGAACAAAAGATGCATTAATTTTTACTATGGGAGTTTATCGTTAGTATAGTAGGGAAAGGGCGTAACCCATTCATCTCTAAAATACAAAAAGCCATAACTAACTACATAAAAATCCGAGTTTCAGTTTTTGAATGATTATGCAATAAAAAATTAGTTAGTTGTGTTTTTTCCAAATGTTGTTGTGTTTTTTTCAATTCCTTCAGTCCACAGCAAAGGAATTGATTACTTTTTCAATTCCTTAGAAGTAGTTTCAAATGCAAATGCTGGGATAAATTACTTGCTAGTAATGTAATTTTTCCCCCCAATTCCTTTGAACGGAATTGAAAATGTAATATATTTTCTTTCAATTTCATTACCTGCCATTGCAAGAGTACTTTAGTTTTTTCAATTACTCAAAGGAATTGTAAAAGTAATTGAGAAACTTAAAGTTCATTCACGAATGTAAAATGTGGAATTTTCTTGTAATCAAAGATTAAAATGGAAACCACACATTATATCTATGTATATAAGGGTGGTCCTTAAAATCAAATGAACGATTTTTTTTCAGTCTCACCCCCTCATTTCGTAATACCACAGTGACGGATATCACATATAAATTTGGATGTTTTTTAATTGTAATACTCAAAAACCGATACTACCGCAGTCGAAGATATCAAAAATTTAAAAATACATTTTTTTTTTTCATTTAATACCCAAAATCGATACTACTAAAGTCGAAGATATCATTTATAAATTTTGGCCCTGATTGGAGTCGGTTAAGACGTCTTCATAGGTTAGTCTGAACTTTGACCCCTGTGCGACACGCCTTAACACGACTTCAATCGGGAGCAAAATTTATATATAATATCATCGACCATAGTAGTATCGACGTAGGGGTTGAGGCTTAGGAAATGTTATGCAGAAATTTGCTTCATATATTTAAGAACCGATTTGAATATTTTTTTTTTATTGTTCGGTATAATACCAGGATTTATGGTACAGAAATTTGGAGCGTTGCCACCTGCTGAAAATTTTAAACTTAATTAAATTGATAAAATTAATAAAATATATCAATGTGGGTATTAGATTAAAGAGGTTTAAGAAAGATAACCATTGGAGATACCAGGATTTATATTACAAAAATTTGGAGGGTTGCCACCTATTTAAAATTTTTAACTCAGTTAAATTGATAAAATAAAGGAAATATTGCGATGTGGGCGTCAAACTAGAGTTTGTTGTTGCTGTAAGTTTTTTGAAGGCTTACAGTCAAAAATATTTTCGAAGTGAATTAAATTGGCAAAATAAATGAAATTTCGTAGTATGGGTACACTCAGAAAAAAGCATTTCCTTAAATCAAGAAAACAGTATCCTCATTTTCGAGTTACTGTTTTTTCCTTAATATTACGAAAAATTTATTCAATTTCAGAAATTTTTTCTTAATTTAAAAATAGGGCATCATTAATTTGAAGAAGTAAAATTACTCAATATAAGTAATAATTTAATCAATATAAGTCATAACCTCCTTAAATAATTTTGAATTTTGTCAGTGCTGTTAAGACAAAGGTAATTGCTTTCCTGTCAAATGTCGGCTGTGGCGTCGTTTGAAGACTACTGCTTTAGATTCTGAGATCGCAGGTTCGAATCCGGTTGGAGGTGGTTAGAATAAGGTAAGTCAATTATTTCAATATAAATTACAAATTGCAAAAATAATTTCATATACGGAAAAACCTATATACTCAAATAACATAAAATATAAATTAGATATGTATATTTTTTTTTAATACAATTTAAAATTTTACAATAAAAAAAATATTTCTGCTCTGTCACTCGAACCTTGCATCTCTCGTCTAGCACTCCAGAGCTTTGCTCTGTCGGCCATTGCCACTGTTTCAAGGCAATATTTCCTTAGAATGATATACTTTTTTCCTAGAATCAATGAATTTTTTTTCTGAGTGCACTTTTAGAAATATAATACAAAGGATATACTTAAGAATTACTCACATAAGTGTAAATACTTTCAGCTCTCCAATTTTTTCGGGTGATTTTTCCATTGTTCGAATATTTTTTCCGCGAAATTACGCAAAAGAAGCTGAGAAGCGAAAAATCAGGAAATCAAGAACTAGATAGTATGTGTATATATATACGCAAAGTCGCGCGAAAAGATCCAATTATATGTTCGTAAACTACATGAAATTCTCTAAAACAGGCGTCTTATTTCAAAACCTGAAGAACCGGTACTCACATTTCTTTTACTCATACTTTTTAGCATATCGAGGTTTCTGGCCGTGAAGAAACTGAAAATATCGGTGAGGTAGTCAGTGATTTTCCCGCATAGGCTGTGGATATTTCGCCCGCTGCCATGATCGTACAATCATCAGCGGAGCTCACAAGCCAGTGTCGAGGAGAGTACGCCGCGTTGAGGTACACCCTGCTTAAATCTTAGCGGCTTGCACTTGTCGATGTGAGACTCAACACATGATGATTGACGACCACCAGTGTGCAAACTTAATCTATTTTATATGCGGTAGAATTGAGAAAAAGATGCGCTAGATTCGAGTAAAATGCGGTAGACTTTAATTTATTCTACAAAACAATATGCATATGTATGTATGTATGTGTGCCCGTCAATTAAAGTAACCTAAGTGAAGTTAGGTCATTTTCCCTTTAAAGCGATATTTCATAGGGTTCCAAAATAATATTTTAACCATTTACTAGCCATAAGTGTAGTTCAAGATGTCATCTTAATAGAAACCTCATAAAAATATAAAGGGAAACTTAATATTTTTTAATTCAAAGTCAAACCTTCTAAATTCACTATTTTAATTCGCTACTTTAATTGACGGGAATAGATACGTACATTAAAGTGGTCCTTAAATGTAGGAAGAAAATTTTTACATCAGATTTCCTAAGCCTCGTTGTCTCGTTTAGCAGAATCTTCCTAATAAATTCTCTAGTAGAATTGCTAATGAAAAAAATTGACGTTATTAGCTTTAGTGGCATCAAGTTTGTCGTCTTAGTCTTTCGATTTTGTCTAAGGCAGCAGCAACACTACATAGTACATATCAGCTTCCTAATTCCTTCCTGTTCATCGAGAAAACTCGTTATAAAAAAGCAACAGGAAGCAAAGAGCTTTGCCTCTTAAATTCATTTCTCTTTATCTAGGAAAATAAATAAGAAATGTTCTCTTGTGGCGGTGTACACGTGTACACCTTCTGCTCAGCCCAATTGTAAACAAATTATTAGCGCATAAATAAATTAGGCGTTCGCTCTGAAGCCCAAAAACCACCGAGTTAAACATATAAGTAAATTTCAAAAATGCGTTTTTCACGCTGAGTGCTGTGTGGTGTTCAGTCTCTTTTGAGATTTCGAATCGAACGCTTCGTAGTCATCAGCAAAAGTGGGCGCGCCGATACCGACGTCGAGGCCTTTACTATATAAACTGACAGTGTTTGTGCATATTTTTAGAAAATTTTGTCAGCAAACGAAATAACATAAATAAACTGCCTTTGTTCCTGGGCTGTAATAAAAACGGTTTTTGGCTAATTTTAAGTGGCAAAGTACAAGGATTTTGATTTGAAATCGCAGCAGTGCTTTTTACGAAATTTTAAGTTAGTGATTTCAGTACATAATTGGAGCGACGGAGCGAAAACGAACCTTTGGAATTTTGTTCTACACTTACGCATATACATGCATACATACTCATGTGTACCACATGCATTCATTTAAATTTACACTTGCAAGTACATACCTACCTAGATACATATGTATAAACGATAAGCGCAGCAAATTTGGCAAATGTTTTGAGTTAAATGTACCATTAAGTGATACATACATATTAAACTAATATGACTGATCGCCGCCGAGATATTGCTCGTAGTCCAGTAGGGCCACCTTTCAACACAGCAATGTTCAATTTAAAAAAGCTATTGCTTTGTGCTCTTTTGGTATTCTTCGTCTTCCCGCATACCACCTATGAGTTTTTACAATTCAATGGGGCGGCTAAGGGTGGTGTTGGTGTTGGGCACGTCGCCGATGCCATCAAACCAATAGCAACAAAGCGCCCATTCGAGAAGAAATTCAAATTTCATAAAATAGAACGCGTATACATTGGCGATGAGGAGGAGAAAAATGACGACGACGACGACGACAGCGAAAATGATGGAGATGACAAAAACGATGATGATCACAACGGTGACAGAAAACCAGACGATGACGCTAGCCGACAAATGGACGAAGAAGCGGCAGAGTCGGAAGAGCTGCCGTTCAAACGTGCACGCGTGGCTCACAAAGAGCGACGCGCTACCACCACCTCCACGCCGATGAATGAGAAAAAACGTTCAACTACTAAGAAACAGAACAAAATAGCAGACGATGAAAGCAACCAAAGCGAAGAGTCGAAAACGTTCTTTGGCTCATTATTTGGAAATCTCTTTGGTGGTGGAAGTGGTGACCGAGGCGATGCCGATCCGCAGCCGAGGTCGACGAGTGAAGAAGATAGCTCTGCTGAGAAGAAAGTACCATCAAACGGCATTATTGACTGGTTGAAATGGTTGAGTGAGCGAAATGAACGCACGGAGCGACAGGAAGCCGTTGAACCGGATGATACTGAGTCTTGGCACTCCTACCTCAATCGTTGGCCATTCAACAGTTTCTTTCCCATTAGCAAGTCAGCAAAGCCAATACGCCGTCAACCTAAAGAACCCGCTTCCCCGCAGAACGGCAATTCAGATGAGGCGACCACCACAATGTCTCAGGAAAATTTCGAAAGCATATTGCATACACTGCCTAGCTTTGTGTTGAATCCAGACCATGTTACCAACACCGAATGCAGACAACAATTGCAGATATTTCATCGACAGCTGCGTGGCAATAAGTTTTGGACGCTACAGAGTGCGTGAACCCAAACACATCTATGCCATTTATTTAGACCTTAAATTATTTATTCTTAAATTTCTAGTGTTGGACGCCACGGGAAAAATTAGTGCAGGTTTGTTGCGTGGCAATATCAACCAATTCGGAGACTTCGACCAATGCATGCAGGTGAAAGCTAGGGTGAAGGTAACACCGGAAATTCCGGTTCGCATTCGCGGGAAATATTGTCTGGCACACATTGAAATGCAAACTTCAACAAAGGAGCTGAGGGCACCTCTACATTATGCGCAGGGGCGCGCACTCTGGCGAAGTCATTTTGGAAATGTGAGCAAATATTTTATATACATACAACTGTATGAGTGGTGGTATTTAACATTTGAGGAAATTATATAATATCGAAAAATTCTTTAACGGTTACACTAACCTTTAACACACACTTTAACCTAAGTTTTACGCCGCCTCCGAACAGCAAATGGTTTTTATGAAAAGGTTTTCCAAGGCACAAGTACCCTCGGAGGTTTACCATTGCCTGCTGAGAGGCGACCGCTGTTAGAAAAAACCTTTTCTAATTTAGATGTTGCGCCTACTAGCGATCTAACCCGGTACTACGGAGTAGTATGCACCTCTAGCCACTCAGCCACAGCGGGTTACCTAAGATCTTCGTTAAATTTTCATATAGCCACGGACTATTCCACGGGACAGTACTGGGCTGATCTTTTGATCCGTAAGGTGCATATAGTATTAGAGTCAAACTCCACATCAAATAGCATAATGCTTTTTGGTATTTCGTGGACGTCTCCGGAGACTTTACGACTTACGTACCCTTGCTTATCTACATAGTTCAAGCCATTAGTCGTCGCCATTAAGCTCAACCAATAATAATCCCAGGAAACTTAAGGCTTTGACGAGGCCGGATCAGAAGGAGGGTGGTGTTAGCCAGTTGGGGTTAACGGGGTGAAGAAATATGTATTATTGTGTAGAGTCCCTTTAAAGCTGGACATCTGCTAGGTATGTCAGAGAGAAGATTTTCGCCCGCTACATTAAAAGAACGTTTCTGTGGAGTCGCAAGAGGCAACTGAAACTCTTCCTTTAGCTGGCGATAGAACTACGATGAGGGTATTCACGGGATGAAAGTTCAAAAGATGGTGACAGTCTCTGGGTGGATGCCGCTCAAGTCCTCTCTGTAGACTCTTTGATCCATAGGTTTTTTTTTGTTTAATGTTTGTATGTGTGGACCTTGTGAATAAGATCATAAGACATCGTTTAATGATAGCTTGTCCGGCTTTTGATAGTGAGGGAGAAGGTGAAGAAACAAGTAAGAACGGTTTACCTTTGAGCGCAAATCTTCTATTTCAATACCGAACACTGTTTTAGACCCATCGCTTAGCTAAATAGTTGCGTGAGTAGAGGTCAAATTTCTCATTTCGTCTTTATACCTACTTATGTACTTATGTTCGACAATATAGTCTGTAACCCCCTAGTATTCTTCAAGAGTAAAGTTAGCTTAACAAAACTTTGTATTGGGGTTAGAACCGTTATTGCATTTCAAAAAATGTTACAATTCAACAAATGTCGAAGAAGGCTCTCCACGAAGTTCTTTTTAAAACTTAATTGAACTGTTTTGTGATCATTTGTTTCCAACCAGCCCAGTCATTTCGCTCCACGCTACGACATCGCCAACTGGGGCGTTTGCATACCAAACCTCTGCAGCAGTGAGGTAGTACAACAAATGGTCGAATCGAATCTGCGTGCTTACAATGCGACAGGTATAGAATTTCATGTGGAAGTCGGTGACAATGATTGCTACACCCGATCAAATGTTAAGCTCATGAAACTCATTAAAAAGGATCGCAATTTCGCCCTGACAATGTATGTAAACAGTTTTCACGTTTATAAGTGGACCATAAAGATCTTAATAAAGTTTCTCTTTCATACACACATCATATGTAGATTCGGTATTGGTGGACTTGTGGTACTATGCGTTGGTTCATTGCTCAATAAATACCAGTCGAAAATAAAAGTCTGGGTACTTAGTAAATTCAAGAAGACTAAAACAGACTCAAACGGTGAAAGCGAAGGAAACGAAAGTACAGTGGAGGCGATTACTGATTCAACGGAAATCGAGAATGCAGCGGAAGATGGCATAGCTAGGGAAACAACACTGGAAACTGATAGTGGAGACGGGAAGCCAGAACCATCCTATAGCGGTTAGATCACTTTTTATACATATATTTATAGCATTGCCTTACGTATCTACCCATACATATACAGTACTTCAGTCTCTCACTGCCGTGCTTCGGGACACCGTCAGTACTTTCTCACCACAACGCACAGTTTCTGTATTGCTTGGCAGCGACTCTTCGGAAACGCAATTCCCGATCTTCAATGTGCTCAAACTGGGCGCCACATTCGCCCTCTATGTCAGCCTCAAATACATTATGATTGGACATCTTCCCATCATCAATCGGGATATTATGGTTCGGGCGTTGGAAAAACCACAGAGCATCCTGTTCCGCACACCAATGGTTTACATGGATATGCTTTTGATGGTAAGCGGCTTCTTGATTGCTTATCAACTGGCTGAAGAAATGGAACAAAAATCGCATATTCAGCTGTTAAAGCGCATGGCTTTAAAGATCACAAGGTACGCAGGCACTTTTAGATTACCCCTAGCTTGGTCCGTCCAATTACCAACGCATCCTCGATCTCTTCGCCGTATTCTTAGATACCTACCTACTTTGTATGCGGTGTTGTTGTTCCAAACATATATTCTTCCACTGCTTGGCGCCGGACCGCTCTGGACGAATTTGATCGGCCAAAATACGCGTTTGTGCGAGCAACAGTTGTGGCGAAACTTTTTTAGCGTTCAGAATGCAATTGAATTTGAGGAGACTGTGAGTAAAAATGTAGTCCCCAATTCCATAGGGTCTGGTGTATTATAAAAAAAAAACACACACTTGTCAAATGTTTGTAGTGTTCGCCTATGTCCATACAATTGGCTCTTGAAGTTCAGCTCTATATACTGGGACCGTTGATCGTGTGGCTCTACTACACCGATGCAGATGCTGCATTCTTCATCTATGGTGCTCTGCATGCGATGTCTGTGGCAGCGCGTTACTCTCGCACACAACGCGAATACCTATCGACGACCTTGTTCCATGGCATGAAGTGAGTTCTCCTGGACTTGAAATTTTTTCACAAATAGTATGCCTCTGATTTCATTTCATTTCCTTTTTCACAGCGTCAGCAAATTCTACCGCACGGCCAATTTGCTCATCTCTTCGCCGATAAGTCGCGCAACCCCCTATCTTTTTGGTATCGGCACTGGTCTGCTACATCGCTCTCAAGCCGGTGTGCTGGAGATCGCCAGCGAACTCATACCCGTTGGCTGGCTGTGCGCCTCATTGGGATTATTCTGGTGCTTCTGGTCACCCTCGGCGAGCATGCGCACCGATTTCGTTTATACAGCTGGCGATGCGGCATCTTATGCCGCTTGGTGTCCGCTAATACTCAGCTTATCTGTAGCTTGGTGTATTTTTATGTTTCCAAGGGGTGAAAACTCTGTGCTGCACCTTCTTACCACAATGAGACCTGTGCTCTTCCTTTCACGCATAACGTTCCCCATACAGCTGATGACTTATGTGGTGGTATTGTACAACACTGCTGGTGTAAGTGAGCCACACAAATATCATCTAGGTGACTTGGTAAGTTCAGGAGCCTCCATAAAATTACGAAAAGACGTTTAACATAAAAATTTTACAGGTTAATTTTAATGAGATCGCAGTAATTCTGATCAGTGGGCTAGCACTGGCTTTTCTAATCGATGTGCCTGCCCAACATATTCGCAAAGTTGTAATAAATCGTATATTTGTAGAACGTACGGCGCGCGAGTATGAACAAGAAGCCGCACCCGGCACGGGCGCTGAGGCCTCTGAACCTGAAGCTGAAGCGGATAACGAAGAGCAAATTGATCAAGCTAAAGATGACGTGGGAGATGATGACCCTGAAGTTAGCACGGAAGAGTTGGAAAAGAACAACAAAGTTGAAGTGACTGATGAAGAGGAGAATAAGAACGAGGATGAAGAGGAAGAGGAAGAGGAGGAGGAAAATACTGCAGATAAAGAAAGTGAGTTATCTGAGAATGATGAAATTAAAAAACGACCAGAAAATGATAAAGAAGAAAACGTACCAAGCTATACACGAAGAAGACGACGAATAAGCGATGATTAGACAGAATGGAGAATGTGTTGATAGATGCTATTTCAGTAGAAACAAAAGACAACAATGGAAAAATCATTAGAGATAAGGCATGCGATACACTAAAAAGAAACAAAATGGTGGTCAGAATAAAAAGGGGCCAGTTACAAAAATTACATTGTTAGGGCGCAAAACCGAAAACATGTAGACTAAAATTTGATAAAGGCAATCCACCTACTCGTATGTATAGACCCAGGACTATTTTTGAACAAACATTGTTTGGATTGGTGTTCTTTAAAAACTCGATGCGTAATTATTTTGGATTTTTTTTTTTTTGTGATCCAGCCCATTATTGAAAGATGAGACGATAAGTCAAAACAATTGGTAATACGAACCCAAAAACGAACCCGAATTTTATTAAATTTACTTTCAAACTAACATTCATACATACTACTATGTATATATTTATTTTCGTAAAAATTTACTTACATTTTTTATTTTTTTTAATCTTAATTAAGAATACACGAGCACATATTCAATTCATTCATTGAAATCTAACCTAGCGAAAAGCATAACTAGTATTTTTTATACAACAATTCTTTTTGGATAACATACAGCTTCCTGACAATTTTTGTAACAACACGATCAGAGACTATGTATGACTTATAGTGCGGCAAGTTTTATTACATCCTAGTTGTATAGTTATTTGTCTAGACAACTATGAAAAATTTATACTTTTACAATTTATTCCTGTACCCATTTTCATCAATAAATATGTATTTATTAGGGCTGTGCGATTAATTGATTATTCAAAATTTTAATTAATCATAAAGTAAATAACTCAATTATTCGATTAATTGGAAATTGTGATTACTCAAAAGTTCAATTACTCGAGTAACCAAGATTTTAATTAACCAAAAACAAAAATATATGAGTAATTTGCTTTATGAGTAATCAACATTTCAAAGTACTGTTTACATATAAAGCAGTTGAAGTTCCTTGATACTTTGAAAACAACGTTTCTGTTTTCAAAAAAAAATTTTTTTATGTACAGAATGTAAGAAAGAAAATAAGCATTTTCCAAAGCAAACTCATCTAACGAGCAAAATTAATTTTTTTGAGTAATCATATATCAAGTAACTCGATTAATCGTCGTTTTGAGTAATCAAAATCTTGATTGATCGAGTAATTGATTAACCGGAAGACTGATTAACCACCTTGGTCAAGTAATCGAATAATCGCACAGCCCTAGTATTTATGTACAAATGTACATATGAATATTTCTCATGTGTGTTTGTATAAAATCCTAAAACTCAAAACTAAACGCTATGTAATCATCACAAAATATTATATGTATGTCATAAAATACATGGTAAGAGTATCTATCATACTTACTTAGAACTATGTACTATAAAATATTTATAAACAAAAAAAATTTGAGTAGAAAACCATTTATTTTTGTATTTAGAGTATTTAACTACTTCGTTACGCCACCTGCTCCTCTGACGTGCTAGGACTTCGATTTTCCGTGGACGATGTGCGTTTCTCAGGACGTCCCGCTTTCCGCAACAATATCCGCTCCAAGGCATGTATGGGCGATTCAAAAAGTAGGCAAAGCACAAAGGCCAAAACGAATGTGTCTATCGTGTGACTAAACATGTCGTTCTCCTAAAAGATAAATACAAATTATTTAGCTAATTTGATCTTTACACATGATGCAAATATCATTGATCTACATACATATGTATGTATGTATATTCCTACATACATATGTAAGTAAATAATATAGCTTTTCCGAAATTTATAAAAAAAAAAAACTCAGTTTACGGTCTGTACCAAGTTGGTCGCTTAAGTCGTTAAATGGAATTTATTTTCCAAGGAAGCCAAAATCAAATGAAACATTAATATCGTGCCGGATCACAGTGGTTTGAAACTGGAAAATTGAGTTAAAAATAACTAATACAATTTAGAAGAGATTCTTCAGGCCCGATTTTTGAATTTTTATTTGTTTATAGAAAATATTGTAGCAATTTCGAAGAAAATCGATTCCTTTTGTATGAATGTTACATAATAAAAACTAGTTGAAAAAAATCATAGGGTTCGCAAAACGAAATATATTGCACAAGAAAAATTTGAAATATTATAGAAAAAGTTTCTCCGAAATTTAAAATTAAAATAAAAAAAAAATTGTTTTAAAAATTTGAACTTTTGGTGACCATTTTTTGAAACTCTGAATTTTCACGAAGTTTATAGAAAGTTTTCAACATTGATTACTTAGGTTACTAGGTCACCACTTCCGCCTTTCCGAACGGCCTCGAAAAAAATTGGTAGGCATAAAGAGCATCCGAGAATACTACCCTACATAAAATTTAAGCCCTGTTCGCATGGGGACGTAAACCTTAGAACATAAATACGCTGATACTAAAGCCAAATAATTTTTCGTTTCGGCAACCATCTTTATATTAGGAAAATAGGTCACTCACCAAGGTCGTATTTGAAAATGGACGCACTTTAGTTGATGTGAATAATAGCGTAACAGCGTAAAACAGTAAGAGAACTGTTCTTGGAGCAAGACGACAAAAGGGCGTTACTCTATGTAAACACACAAAATTTCACTTTTGCATAACCACCCCACACCGGGTATTATTTCCTAACTAGACAGAAATCTAGTCAATTCAATATTATCATCCACGCGAGAAACTTTTAGAGGTTATATTACCGAAAGTTATCCTTACCAAGTTCACATAGGACTGATGGGTGGCATAACGCTGACTCGACGAGTGATATAACTCCACTATGCCATTCGACAAATAAGCGCAATAGGTAAGTCTACTGATGGGTGCGAAGAAGCGACTGCTTAGGAAATTACGCAACCAGCCGGCGTGGCCTGTTGTTGCTGCCATCACCAACCACGCCACCGATAAATTCCAAGCTAATTTATGAAATCCGGCATAAAGAAAACTCTCTATGTATGTATATGGACTCCGGTAGAACCGGCATATGGAGAACATGGCTGCAACGCCGATCAAAGTCGAAATAAACCAAGCGAGGCGTACAACCAAAGAGCGTAGTTTTGTGCTGGAATTAAATTAAATTAAAGTATGCAATTTTTTGTTTTTTTTTTTTACATAATTTTATATGTAATTGTTTATATAGTTTTAGTTATATTTACCCTCGCTCCTGCATAATATGCACGACATAACCAGTCAACAAACCGATAAAATAAGACGAGGCACGCATATGTGTTTTTATATAATAACCAATGTAATATTTATTACTGGCCAAGTCGGTTAATTCGCTACAAAAATATAACATGAAAGTAAGTAAGTTGCCGAAAACATACTATTTAAGTAGCAGCATTCGAATTTTTTTACTTACTCTGAATAGACCAACAAAGTTGGATCCAAGTGCCGCACAAATGTCACCACAAATGGAATAACTGTGGTACAAACGACAGCTGCAATCAGCAAGCGAAGGCCATATTTTCGCATTTTGAATAGTAGATAGATGAAAATTGGCGCAATGAAGAAAAGTTGCGTATCGACAGACAGATACCACGATTGGAACATACACTACAAATTCAAAGAGAGGCAAACTTTAAATTTTTATGTAAGAATTTGGATAATGTTAAAAAAGGGATATAGTTAATAGTTGTAAGGATGTCAGATGCTAATTGTTTGATAAGGCTGACGCTGTTACTCAAACGATACCTGGGGTTCACTTTACCATAGAACCGGGGAATTTGTCTGTCTTGAAATTTAATAAAGTAAGCTGTAAATGAGGCTTTAACTAAATTATTTTCTTACTTAAGGTGCTTATTGCGCTGCTGCCAATAGGTCAGTTGATACCTTTTTCTGTGAAAAATTAATGAAAGCTTTCAAGCTATACTATTTTAATCAAAAACATAATATGTAATATTATAAAAAAAACATGGCATTAGTAAATTACCTGCGCTTGAGGGAATTTGACCAAAATTTTTAAAGCTGGCATAGATAGAATACAATTTGTTTAGTTGGGGCCGTTTTCTCAATTACCTGTAACTTTAAAGTTTACTTTATATATATAGGTTGCTTTTATGATTGCGTCTAAAGTAAAGCATTATATCATCGATTTTATATTGGTTTACAACAAAGAAACATACATACGACAAAAACCAATAATAGAAATGCTTAACTTTAGACATAACCTTATTTTTAATACAACCTTTAAATATAAAGTGAGCTTTAAAGTTAAAGGTTGCTTCCTAAAACGGCTCTTAGTCTAAAAAAAAATCCCTTTAATTGAAGGAAAGATCTAAAACCGGCCATTATCTTGAACAAAGAGCACAGAACCTCAAAATGTTACATTACAAAAAAAAAATTATCGCTAGGTCGAAATTTTTCTTCCCGCATAACAATGATGAATTGGTTTTTTTGTTGGTCAAAACACGATCGCGTCATGAAAATCAGCATGGGCCAAAAAGGCGATCAATTGAAGAGTTTTACTGTAAACTTAAGAGCAGGGACACCCAACCAGTTTAGACATCTAAAAAAAAAAAAAATAAACAATCGATTAGGTAGACTTGAATCGTGAAAATTGTACTGAATGTTGCTCATACGACGCGTGTGTCTAAAAAGAGTGATTTTATTTACAAGGGTACGAAAGTAATTTAAAAACTGAATAATATTAAACTGCCTGAAGAGGTATTTCGTGAGTAAGATAAAATCCACTTTTTATCCAGAAATATTATTCATCATGTGGTGCTTGCACCAGAAGTTTTAGGGTTCAAGTAAAAGAAGCTTGTAGTAATTTGTCAGCACAAGAACAAATTTTCATTCTGTTGGAAATTTTTCTTGAACCACAATATTTTATAATATATTATATTCGCATAAGAATGCTTTTTCGATTCGAAAAAGTACTCGAAAACGAATCGTAGACGGCTATCTTAAACGACTTTTTAGCCGGTTTTTCTTCGAGAATATACTCCAGTTACAGTTACTTTCTGATTCATGACAAGATTAGTGATGATATAATTAAAAACAGCGTACTAGATCAATTTTTCTCAAAGGTGACCTAATTATATGAGCACAAGTGTATATGCGTAATAGAAGTATGTACTTACAAACTTATCCGTGTTGAAATAATTATTTACATAGAGTATATTAAGCCACCATGACGCCTGACAGCGCTCCTGCTCACGTCTGATGCGCTCTGCCCATAACGGACCGCTGCCGATGCTCGGAAACCAGGTCATGTAGAAGCCGATAATTGCCATATAGGCCGGTGTTAGGCGAATGTAGCGGCCAATGTACAAAATCAACGGATTTATTTGACCACGACGACGATGCAGTTCGACCAGCATAATGCGACAGAACAGGAAACCACTCAACAACAGAAACGTATCCACAAATAATAGGGAATTGTAGAGGAATGCAAATGTGGGGAATTTCGTTTGCTAAGATGTGTGGTGATTTGCAAACAGAGAAATTAGAAAAAAATATATAATATGTAAGTACAGTATTGGGCATATCTATAGCACCCCCATTTCAAAGTCCCTAAGGGGAAATAATTAATTATTAATGGCAAACAATATCTCTTAATACCGAAAAAAATTCTAGCACTTCTAAGAAAAAATTTTGAAATTTGGGTGAAAATTTGTCGAATTTTTTGTAGCCCTTTAAAAGATTTAAAATTTGTTGAATTTTTTTTTTAGAATTCTATAAAGTCTAAAACTTGGGTTTATATGGTTTTTGTTGGAGAATGAACTGTATTTTACTTGAAAATTCCTAAAAATAAAGAAATAACTTTGAAATGGGGGGTGCTATTGTATTGGTCAATACTGTATATATGTATATGTATGTGAATTAATACAAATGTCAAGCATTCAGTAAACAATTGTGAAATAGTCATTAAAGCTAACGGTTTCAAGCGATTAAACCAAAACTCGTTTTTTATGCGTATGTATGTATGTACATAAATTAACATTAGTCGTTATTATTACCTCTGCTACGAACGCCACATTATAAGTGGGACTGCCATAGATAAACGACAGCGCATGCCCGGCAAGTATCAGCAACATTGCCATTGCTTTGATGCCGTTTATCGAGTTTAGCCCCATCTGGTCTTTACTCGCCTGAAACAGTTTCTTCGTATTCTCTGCAATATGAAAACAAAAAAAAATATCATCCAATCTACAGATATGCAAATATCACACCCACCTATAACTGAGAACGACAACAATGCGATTGTCAATGTTTCTTGTTGCAATGCGCGTTTCGAGACATCATCGGCACTTCTCGACGCATAAATCAAGTAGCAATGATAGGCGGTGCTCAATGTAGCCAGCAAAATAAACAGAAATAGCACAACACTGCAAAATATTCGAATTTACAAAAAAAAAAAAAAATAGCAAGCAATTACTTAAGCCATTACCTAGCATATAAATATAAATATGTAAATATGTACATATGG